AGTCTCAAAGTCCGTGTGATTCCCCATGTAGACGCTGGTTTTGCACATGCCCAACATGGGCTGATGAGATACTGCCATTTCCCCATTAATGCGTTGTGGACCAAACGGGCCGCCCGAGACTGTTTTCGATGCTAGACGGTTGAGCCGTGGCACGTTAACAATCAACGTAAGAAAAGGTGGCCTTCCTTGAGTCGCAAAGAACTGCATGGATGTGGCAACGTCTCATATCTAGTATTTCCGGGAGTGAGACGCAGCACGCAACATACGCGGGGCCATACAGACATGCCGGATCATGAGCTGAAACCGTGCGGACACTGTAAAAACACCGACAATGCAAGAATTGCTTTTGAGTGACATCTATTCTAGTAGATGCTTCCCTGAACTGGGTCCCCCAGTGTGAACGCTGCTCGATGGGGAAAAAAAGCCAGCCGATGTGAGATAACCCGACCAAGAGTATTTATTTGATAAGTTCCTCTAATTTGATTGACGGGGCCTGAGCCGGAATCTACTTAATCGGACAGTTTGATTTGTTAGCTTTCTTTGGCTGCTGATTTGCGAAGGCTAAGTCATCTCAGTCGTACGCATACTAAAACAGGTCTGGCATAATTGTCACTAATTAGATTCGGCGGCCTCAGTCTCATTCTAACAATATAATCATTCGAAGAATTTTTCAATTTGGATGACAGGGCCTGAACGTGCATTTATTGAATCTACATCTTGCTATTCTTCCGATCAGTCCGATGAAGGAGACAGCCAAGACCTCTTAATTAGATTACATCCCATTCATCTAATAGTAGATGTAATTACATTACTTAGGCCCTAAACCCTAAACCCTTTGTCTGACATTAGTTTAACTTGATGATTGGCTTCATGGGGTGCAACTTGGACCTTGAGACTGCACGTGCGAGAAAATGGAGGAGGCCAGGGGAACTACCATACATATATATGTATAAAGCCATAAGTAAACTCAATGTATATACACACACATATCTCCCTCTCTCTCTCGCTGCAAACGCTGCGTGCCTGCTCCAAGAGGGTCCTTTGACCTCACGGAGAGAGCTTGATATGCTCCATGCAAGAAGTCTCAGTCTCATGGGAATGGTTTGGGCTTAGGGTCGTGAAGACCCGTTGATTAGCAATCGAAAGCTCTTCAATCAGGAGTAGACATGGCGCTTGCTCACCAGGAGGGGAAACAATGGATTGCAGAGGGGTTCAGGGTGTCCCGAGTAAGGGGCCCACAGTTCTTTTGGGGAATAAGCTACATGACTAGCTTTGACCTACCCCAGAAGACGAAACAGTTCAGGCAAAAACAAGACATGGTCTTACTCTTTCCGGTGGCTAAAGTATCTTCTGTCGAGTAGAACTCACATCTCTAAACCCTAAACACCAAACACCCCAAACCCTAAGGCCCAAACCCTACACTAAATCCCAAACCTTAAACCCTAATCCCTAAACCCTAAACCTCCGGCATGAGAAGCAAAAAGACCGGGCTGCCAACCCATCTTCCCGGCGTCGCTCGGCGGGTCGCCTCCTCTCTGGGCTGCACCTTTGATTTATATGGGGATACTGGAGAAGAAAATGGAAACTATAGGACTTATTCGGGATTATAGGGACTGTGTTGGGGTTATACAGAGATACTGGAAAAGAAAATGGAAACTACTATGGTATATTGGTGTTCTATAGGGTTTATATTGGGATGGCGACCTACCAGCCGCTGAAAAATGTTGGTCAAGCCGGCGCAGCCTCAGAGCTATCGCTCATACATTAGTGTTTTCTCCAACCTCCGGCCCTTTTGCACAGCTTTCTTCATACAGTACCTCGTATTTTGGCACGCAGACTGTACTGGTAACCCAACTCAACATTCTCAAACGCTCACACTCAACCCTATAGAACACCAATATACCATAGTAGTTTCCATTTTCTTGTCCAATATGCCTGTATAACCCCAATACAGTCCCTATAATCCCCTATATGCCCTATAGACGCCCATGACGTGCGCAGGAAGCAGCGGCCTGCTCTCCAGAACGTTTGTGCAGTCGCCTGGCCCATCTTAGAAGAAGCAGATCTTGTGGTACCCGTTGGGGTAATATTAGGGTTATATTGGGGCTATACGGGGATAATGGAGAAGAAACTGGAAACTGCTATAATGGGTTATATAGGGTTTAAGGTTTGGGGCTGCAGTGCTGCCAAGGCCCAGGTAGACACCCGGCAAGATGTGAGCTACAGTCAATATTTCCTACACAACTTAATGCACATGGGTTCCTTATTCGGGACCATGTTAGGGATATTATCGGACTCTACTAAACACAAGAGGGACCTCTATGTCCACAGTTAAGGGTGGCCTTTAATGAGGCTGTTGTTGACAATAGCTCAGTGTTGGGGCTTTGACTTTTTGCGCCCTAAACCCTACATAACCCGTTATAGTAGTTTCCATTGTCTTTTCCAGTATCCCCATATAACCCCAATATAGCCCTAATATTACCCAACCCTAATATTACCCCAACACTTACCACAAGATTTGCTTCTTCTAGTCCGCTAGTCCGCTGCAGTTCGATTCAAGGCCCCACTGGGGCTTAGGATTAAAGAATCAGGGTTGTATGGGTGGTTTGCACAAGTAGGGCACCCCAGTATAGACCCCACAATACTGTAACCCTGACTACAAGGACTCCAAGACAAGTGTTTCAACTGTCACCCTCATCTCGGTTTTAAGGATTTGGTTAACCTGGAGTGGCTGTGAAATTTATGGTTCAAGCCATCCCACCCCTTACGTGAAGCATATATAAATCATACGTACTTTAAAAATTGGGGCACCCAAAAAAATGCGACTCTCAATTTTTGACCCATGCTGCGACATGTACTACAATGCCCGCGGAAACGGCCTTCAAAGAAGGAACCCCTTTCTTAGGATTCGCGATCCAGCCGCTACCGTAAATCCTAAACCTTATGTAGTACACTTTACTGACTAGACTTCAACTATACTAGAATATGATATGTTGCTCATAATGTCCGAATGTAAAGACTGCAAAGATAATTTGAATGTATGCATATGCGCACATGTATATGTAGGTATTCATATGAGCCGTTGTCTAAACTCCTAGTAACCCCCTCAGTATCCCCTATAGTACTCCCCTATATAATCCCCTTTAAGGAGTTTAGACTATAGCTCATATTATCCTCATACAATCCTATGTATAGCAGTTTCCATTTCATGTTCCATGTTCTTTTCCGTTTGATTCTCCAATATAATAGTTGCCATTCTATTTTCCATTATCCCTATATAACCCGATATAAAAGGAGCCTTTAGTAGTCTCCATTTTCTTTTCCATTATCCCTATATTGCCCCTCTATTCCATTTCAGGTTCCATTTTCTTCTCCATTTGATTGTCCAGTATCGGCCCATATGTACATATACCCAGCATCAAGCTTGCTGGCTTCTATGACTGGCCTCCAGGGGCGAAATTGGATAAGAAGTCGCTGAAACTGTGGGAAAGCGATGGAAAACTGGAGACACCTCAGCTCAAGGTTTAGGGTTCGGGATGAGGGTGTAGGATGAACTCTTGTAAACGCACCTGATGAGCTTGCGTGGCTCAAAGAGCAAACCAAGCTGTCCGGTGATGATTCTACACCGGTAACCCTACAAGAGCACGCTCCAACCATGTATGGGGGTCTACCACCTACAATAGTCCTGTTTGTGCGGATTCGAAAGAGGGCCCCATGGATCCACATGGCACGGCTGTCGCAGTAGTCTGCCACTCATAGGAAGATGCAATCCTACCACAAAAAAATCTCTATGAAAACAGCAGCTAGCTGCCGGGCCCAAGAAAGCACATGAATACAATGAAGGACCCTGTAGGGGGGCTGCCTCCAGCTGGTGCAGACCTTGGCAGTAGCTTGCAGAAACAAGAATGAGCCAATTGCAGGGCAGTGTGAAACCTTCGCGAAGTCCAGGATGGACTTCTTAGGTATACAGGGAAGGTATTCGCGTCACCAGAAGCCGTACTTTCTAGCCTTACCTGGTGCTGGATGCTTGGTTTTGAATTTGGAAATGCCCCATGACCGGCTTTGAATGACGCCAGCCTGCACGTGCTGTTTTTTTTCTTCCTTCCCGCTCCTCCTTCTGATGACAAGGTCGCCGTGAAGAGCCCCAATCAGCTTTGATCTTGCTGCTCGTCAGGAAGGCAGGTAGAAGACGGGTGAAATTTGTGTCGCCAGCGGTATTGCTACGCGCTGAGGCCCAAACTTGTACTTCCATTCAGAACCAGATGCACGACTACGAAAACAGTGTCTTGAGCTTGGCGGGCCTGGTATGAGAAATTGTGGGCAGCCCGAGACGCGGGGTGCTGATAACTTCTTGTGACAAGACAACGCCTTGCAAACTGTGCAGTGCGGCAAGGCGGGCCCGAAGGCAGGATGCTCGGTACCCAGTGGCTTCATGTAAATCCGACGGTTAAATAATTGCTGAGCTTCTGAAGATCTGGAGTTGGAACAAACCCACAAGACAGTTGCATGGAAATGCTGATTGGCTGACATTCGTAGCTTTGAATCTTTGAACAGTGGTTCCGAGCATCATAACTAATCTCAATGACGCGGATGAGGCACTGAGTGGGCCAGTGCTCCATCAACCACTCCCTTCCAAGTTTCCATTGCTTGCGAAATCATAGTCGTTGATGCTCATGATGGTGTTTGGAAGGGACCCTGTGGCAGCTCTTGCACCACATTGATGTTAACATACTAACAGAAGCGTGCACAGAGGCACAACCTGTCCATTTGCATTGCACCTCGATTCGGAGCTTTTCCACATATGCTCCGCAATACAACCAACACCATGCCGTCAAACACCGGGCATTGCCATTGCTCTGTGAGATTTCCGTGAATGGCAGGTGCTTCTAAAGATACTTCCTTCCATGCAGGGAAACAAGCCTTCGGCTAGAAGCAGAGCAACGGGCTCTGCGGAGGTGAACAATGCTCGACAAGTGTGCTCAGTGAACACTGCTAGTCCTTCACTCGTCCTCGGCTTCCTCACCATCCTCGCCCTCCTGCACAGGATGACGACATCCAACAGCTCACCCTGAGGGGTTAGGATGCGCCTCCTCCTCATCAGCAACCTCCTCGTCAGCCGCTGCTGCCATCCTGCCTCCACCGCTGTTCTTGTGGTTGATCACTGCCTGCATCATGCTGCATGAAAGGAATCTTTGCACCAAGATGGAGCCCTGCAGGCCTTACAACCCTCGGAGACAGCATGCCGAGACAGCTCGCCAGGGAAAACGAGACGCACAGCAGACTGGATGTCGCCTCGGAAGAGGGATACATCTGCTTTCCAAGTGTCTCACGAAGTTGAGATGACCGCAAGGCACCAAAAGAAGGGATTAGAGGCCACCCGATCCCTGTGTTCTCAAGCAACCACATGAAGAGCCTGAATTTTTCTGTTGGCACAGCTAGTGCCAATGTAATAGTTACTAGTGCGAGCGGCGTGTGTTGATGTTGTGGGAGCCACTTCGCCGGCAAAGCCTGTTTGCCTGCCAGTAGCATGGCTGTCGGCAATGTCTGCCGTGACAATCAACGAACCCCAGTCAGAAGAAGGACGCCTGCATCGAGATGCGGTCAAAGGTATCTTCGACGCAGGAGATCATCACGGTCATGGCCTGCAGATTGGGGGAATATTGGGGGTGTATTAGGGTTCTATTGGGGTCGTATCGGGATAATGGAAAATGAAATGGAAACTACTATGTATTCAAGTTTGCATAAATGAGCCACCTGTTGTAGTTTCCTACACCTTTGGGAACCAAATTGCTTTCGTAAGAACATTCTAGGGGTATGCACCTTTTAATGGATGGCGGCATCCGGCCTGCTTGGAAATTCGCAAGGTTGGATGGACCTGAGGCAGCGGCACAAGAAAGGAAGTCAAAACAGTCATTCTCAGCTTGGGAGCTGGGAGCCACAATAAACGTAGGCCGTCTAGTGTCCGATATCGGCAAAGTTTTGGATTTACTTGGGTCCGCGTCGGGTGTTGTGGCTTGGTCCGCCTGGCGGAGGACCTTCATGATGTAAAAGCCCCAGTTGATGGTCTTCGCCTTCGACTTCACCTGAAGAACATCCTACGAAAACACACCCGGGGCGGCTGGGCATTATTTGGAAGATTCCTTAGATAGGGGGACCGCAATATAGACCCCCGAATACTATTGTCCTTACTATAGGTACCCCCAAAAAGGTACCCATAATTTTGGGAAACCCTAAACCCTACACCCTAAACCGTATATAACCTTACCTAACCCCTATGAACCTGTAAAGGGTACCCCTACTCTTGGGCAACCCCCATTTCTGCCTTCTTCTTCACGGGCTTAGGCTGGCTTTCGCCCTCGTCCACCACTGGGGGCATCTTGGTGCTCTTGGACTGACCAGGGCCAGGCTTTGTGTGTGAGAAAATGCTAGTAACTGCTAGTAGTAATACGACTAGGTTGGCCCCTAACACCCGATGAAAAATATTAGTATATAGGCATTAGGGAAAATATTAAATATCCCAGGGGCCTACCCAGACGCAGAATAATCAGCATGATAATAATCATAATCGTAGTAATAAGAATATTAATAATGGTAATAGTAATGATAATAGCAATAGTATAAATAGCAATAATCATGTCATGCTGCATGCTGTCCTTCAGAGACATGGCTTCGAAGGTGCACGGCGCTTCCTTAGGGATATGGAGTCTTGAATGAAGGGATTGCAGTGCTTCTTGCTTTGACCTACCCTTCCTTGCAGCCAAGGCTCTGTCCTCTGAGTCCTCTACCGTGGCGGGCCACAATTTCTTCTTGAGCCAGACCCGCCCAATCATGATGCTTAACATGACTTAACATCTGCTTAATTCTGTGTATTCGCTAAACTGCTGACTCCTTCCAAAAGTGGATGACTCTCACATACCATGAAATGCTGCAATCCTTAGCGTTGGGATTTTGCCAAGAAGCAACCATAATTTTGGAACCCCTAGCTTGTGCAAACAAAGCTAGCAAAGACTGGGTTGCGGACCCTCTGTTCACTGCTGCTGGCGCCGCCCTGGCACATGTGAACAGCGAGTTCAATTGGGAAAGAATATCAACTGCAGCACGAAAAAGTTGCTGTCCTGAGTGCTTTAGGCTTTTGATTGTCTCAGCGCCACTGTGATTACACATCTGCCTATCGCGAGTAGGAGACAAGGCTTGTCAAGAAAGGACAGCTCAGCTTTGTGGGGGCAGAGCGAAACCCTTTCTTGATAAATTGGGATTGAAGTTGCATGCTGGAGATTTGGATTGGGAAGAGCGACCCAAGGTGGTAGGGAGAATGGGAGAGGAGCACCAAGCACGCTTGTGCGCGCACCTCTGCCTTTCACTCGCAACCGCCCAAGATCACGGCAAAACTTGCTTTAGGAGATTATCTTGCAACCTACCCAAACCGAAGGAATCATGAAGGGGCCACTAGAAGGGGGAGCCATAACTGGAGACGCTCTGAAACCTAAGACTACTATAATCTACCATAGTATACTGTAATACACTATAATGCACTATAATATACTATACTCTACTATAGTATACTAGAACATACTATAAGATACTATAACATATGCTTAAAAATGTGTGCTGTTGCTTTCCGGAGGCCTTTCCGGAGGCCGCTGCGGCTGCCCTCCGGCGAAGCGCTCCAAGCCAAGGCTCTCGGCGCCTGAAAGGCACATGCTTAGGGTTTGGGGTTTAGGGTTTAGGGTTTAGGGTTTGGGTTTTTGTTTAGGGTTTAGGGTTTAGGGTTTGGGTTTTTGTTTAGGGTTTGGGGTTTAGGGTTTAAGCCACAAACAAATACACAGCACCCTCTGCATTGGTGCACACTGGCTTCACTGCTGGGTAGTAGGGAATAAGGGTATATATTATGTAGGAATTGTATAGGGATTATGTGCGGGTTAGTAAGGAATAAGGGAATGTTCTTAAATAGGGATTTTATAGGAAATTAGGGATGAAAAAGGAAATTATAGAAAAACAGGGATCTTCCTTTCTGCTCCAGAAGGATGCTTATGGTTTAGGGTTTTGGATTCAGGGTTTAGGGTGGTTTACCCATGGGACCTTGAAGGGCTGAGAGCTTAAGGTCTATGCAAATACAGCTCTCCATCCCCGAGTGACCTGAATGCTAAATCCTCTTTGTTTACGCCTGTTTCGTCCCTGATTGCACTGTTGAAAAGATAGAGTCTTGGTGAATAGCAGCCATGAATCTGGGCAGGTGCCTTGGGACCGAAAAGGAGGTACTCTTGGGTACCCTATACAGACATGTGTCAATGCGGCTGAACTCCGGGCACGAGAAAAAACTGCAAATTTGGAAGAAACGCCCCAGGGCCCTTCCCGTGGCCTCCACCAACACTCCGCTTGTCCCAAACCCCAAACAGAAGCAACGCCACAAAGAGCCCCGAAGAAACCAAACCCAGGAACCCGACAGAAGAGCACATATTATCCCTACATAACCCTTATATAACCCCTATAATCCCTGTAGCTTCCACTTGGTTTTCAATTATCCCTATACAACCCCTAGGTCCCATGTACGGAAAAAAGGAATGTACTTTGCCCCCGTATAACATCTTCCCTTATTCCCTACTAAGCCTACTAACCCCAATGTGCAAAAACCTGCAACTGGCGGAACCCTAAACCCTAAACCCTATGACGCAGCCATCTCAGCTAACGACTTCGGCTGATCCAGCCGTAGAGCTGATCCAAACTGCACCAGAGCAGATCTCACTGAAAACATATGGGTTTAGGGTTCATAGTCCCCCTTAAGTAGATAGAATATGGGGTATACGGTGATCTTGTTAAAATATACCCAAAGCCCGATTCTATCTTCTTAAGGAGGACTATACCTTGAAGCCTCTTGCTTTGAGACAAAGGCCAGGTAATTAAAACAGGTCATACTGACATAGCAATTGAAACTACTCTTACCAAACCAGCTGCTATCACCACCAGTCGTGAAAATCACCCTGCACAAGGTACAGAATGACCCGCATACTCAGAAGCCAGAAGCACTAGCTACGCCTTGGATCTGTGCCTTCACGGACAGTAATATAGTAATACTCATAATAGGAAGAATAATGGTAATGATACCAATAAGAATAGTAATACTAATCATGGTAATAACCATAGTAAGAGTAGGATGCTCGAATGAACTCCACACTCCGCAATGACATCCTGAATTTTTGGTGCCTGATACGCGTCTCAGCATACATCCCATCAGGCCTCTCGTTGAGGGAACCAGCCTGAAGTAAGGCGACGGATAGTCAAAGGCACTGTTAATTTTGCTAATTTGGTTAGAAGGAATGGAAAAGTGGAAACTACTATAATGGGTCATACAGGGCTTAGGCGGGTTCAATAGGGTTTAGGCTATAGGGGGAATGGAAAAGAAAATGGAAACTACTAAAATGGGTTCTACACGGACTACTATACTTCATGGGTTATACCAAGCACTACTATAATGGGTTGTATAAAGGGGGCTACTATAACAAGATCCCTATACCGGCTTTTCAGCTGAGATCACCGCGATGGGGTCTTGCGAGGGAGCCGCAGGAGGCCCCTGGCATAGGTGATCGTCTTCGGGGAATTGAGGGGTCTGGGTCTAGGGTTTAGGGTTTAGGGTCTAGGGTCTAGGGTTTGGGGTCTAGGGTTGGTTTAGGGTAAGGGTTTGGGGTTTAGGGTGGTCTACTAGGGGTCGGCTTGGGGGGATCGTCTACGGACCAAAGGAACAGGCAGCAAACAACAAGAAGATCCTAAACCTGGTCCTAGGGCCCTGGCGCTCGGCGAGGAAACTGGCCTCACCAAGCAAGGATGCGCGATGCAGGGCAGTGCAGGAAAGCTACTTGTTCACCACCTGTTTTGTAAGTGTAGGAAACCTGTAAGCTAGAAACCGTATCCTTTAGAATCAAGTGCAAGTCACCTACCAGTACCAAAGCTACTGCAGCTCCCAGCCTGTCGCTGGGACGCGGAGAGGCCATCTCTGTGCATCTACGAGTTCTGCGAAAGATTTCAACACCAAAAATATGCCTTGCTTTCCTCCGGACCTGCGGAATGCGATTTCATTTCATTTTGCATCTCATGATATTTCTTAGCTCTCTGGCAGGGTCTTGGATTGGGCCACCCCTGTACTCTGTGGTGAGCTCTAAGTACGGAGCACAAACTGCGCTTAAACTCTCAAGGAGCTCTGTAAGAACTGCTTGCTCAAGTATCAGACATCTCTGCCAAATCTCTCAGCTGCGGTTGGGAGACAAGCAGGGCTTTCTCAAACCGACTGACCTCTCAAGCATGGATGGCCTGACCTTGACAGGACTGACAACTTGCGCTCGCACTTTGGGGCGACGCCGCATAATCCTGCAAAAGTCCCAATTCGAGGAATGTGAAAAGGCTTCGCCTGTCACATCATCAAACGCCGAAAGTTTGGAGTCCAACGTCGCAAGATATCAATGAAGGCTTTCATACTGACTGGAGCCAAACTTTGACTGGAATATGTCGCGCCGTGCTTCACACGGAGCGATTCTAGTTTGCACTGAGCTGCAAGAACAACTGTGCGGCGATAGCTTTCTAGGTTGTGGAGGGTGCCCAGAATGGTGATCCATTTGATTGCAACAGAATCCCAGACCCCCTAAAGGATCCAAAAAATGGAACCGTCCCCATTACTACATTGGGGTAACTAGGGGATTCTCAGTGGGGTTCCATTCTTTGGATCCTTCAAGGGGTCTGGGATGCCAAGAACTTTAAGTTGGCAAGTTCACGAGCAGAGGCTTCAGCAGGGCGGACTTCAGCGATCTGTCTTCGCTTTGGACCTTTGCACCAGGCGGTAAGATAGCTCAATTAAGGAATAGACCTTAAACCATATTAAGGGTCCTAGTGTAATTTAAGGTATATTCCTTGATGAAACTATATTGGGCTCACTGGGTCCACATCGCCTACCGAACATGTCTGCGTCTGAGCTGCATGATGAGAGGCAGCTTTGGCGTTGACTCACCTAAGTCATGTATCTGGAGTTGGATAGTAATATTAGTACTAATAATAAGAATAGTAATAGTAGTAATGATAGAAATAATCGTAAGAATAGGAAGTCATCTCACTTCAGCTTGTAAGCAGGGAATTCCAGCCCTTTTCTTGCTCCAGAAAGACAATGTGTAATTATGGCATATGGTACCTCCAGCCCTATTCTAACTATTTTGCCCCGCTGAGAACAGGCGCCTGGACTCCATTCGGAAGCAGTAGACCTTCATGTTCTGGTGCATCCAATTGCCAGAGAGCGCATGCCCAAACCACACAAGTATTCATGCTTGAATGCATCCGATTACCAGCGCATGTTCCAATCCATCATCACCCTGATGTTCGAGGGCATCCGATTACTAGAGCATCGTTCCCAAACTATGATCACGTTCTTTCCGAAAGCATACGGTTCCCAGAGCACTTGCGCCCAAACCGGAGTACTGTTCATATTCGAGCGCATCCGATTACCAGACCATCCATGCCCGAACCATGACAACCTTCCTCTATGAGTGCATCAGATTACCACACCATCCATGCTCAAACCGTGCTAACGTTCATTCCCAAGAGCATACATTTCCCATGCCTTATTGTCAGGGAGAAGGATGTTAACTGCGTTTGGAAGATTTAGCATCATTAAGAAATACATTCCAAAATTCTGCGTATCCTTTTCTCCCAAAAACAACCAAGCAAGCGTGCGACAACAGGCCCGAGGTTGCCCGGGACATGCGAATCCACCGCACTGGCCAGCTTTGTGAGCATGTCGGTATACTTTCGGAGGCTGCCCACAGGGTATTTGGACTGCTGCTGCAAGGCAGAGCTTATACTGGTAGTATAGTATTTTACTAATAGTAAAAATGATAGTAATAACAATCATCGTTATGTTGATATGCCAGGCGCAGTAATTTCTCACACCCCGCATTTTCAGCCAATTCAAGGGCAACCTGGCCAAGAACACGATTCGCTGTGGCAAAAAGCTAATTTCAGGCCATGCCATACCAGGGCTAATCTAAACTCCTAGTATCCCCTTTAATAACCCGTCATTAGAATAGTCCCCCGAATAATTCCCAAAATAGGGGACCCAATATAGGCCCCAATATACTCTGGTTGAGGGTTTGGGGTGTAGGGCTGGCTCCACTACCACAAACTACCACCTCGGCTTCGGAACTTGAAAATCAGCGCACTTTTTTTCTGCACAAAGCCAGATGCACGCCAGCTCAATCAAATTGCCTAAACTCTAAGTTTCCTCCAAGTGCCTGATCCCTGCGCCTGCCAGCATTTTCTTCGCCTCCACAAACGTCTTAAACATCCTGACTTTCCAAACGCTGGGCTCTGCGGCGCAAACTAGTTAGGCCCCTGCATTAAGGCGTGTCTATCAGCTGCAGGTCTTTTCTTTCTAACCCACCCATCCACTCTTTGTTGCAAGTTCAAGGAATCAGATGCAAGTCTCTAAACCCGCCGGCTGAGGAGTACACTTCCGCTTGATTGCTTGTACGTGTAGAGGCCCGGGTCCTCTCAAAATCCGCAACAGGAGACGTTCAATACTGGTGCTGAAGGTGGGGGGAGTACAAGTAGGACCCCCGCAAAGAGGAACCCTCATTTTTGGAAACGCTTGTGTAGGGACTATACAAGCGATCCACTCCCCAACTTCCCCTCAAGCACCCACCAGCAAGGTTCAGAGCGCTTGAACTCAGCAAATGCTTCCGGATGCGAGCCCTCCCACCCCAAAAAAAAAACTACCTCAAAATGTCAAACATTTCATTGAGCAGCCCAAACATGTTGGTGAAGGTATGAGAGGGTCCAAAAACTGCGGGGATCCTTTTTGTATAGGAGCACTTATAGTATCTTGGAATATTTTCGGAAAACAGCATTATTTGATATCAGGGACAGCGATAGTCCTTAACCCTCCAGTTTATGGGACCCGCCTCACGAAGCTTCAGCAGGCGGTCTCCGACAAGGCGTGCCCGAGTCTTGCCCTTGAAAGGGATCGCCTGATTTGATGGTTTCCCAAAATAAGGGGACCCCAATATAGACCCCAATAAACCAGAAAACCTTATTATGGGGACCCCAATCCAATGGGTCCCCTTATAGACCCAATAAACCATAATGGGGACCCCCAAAATGGTACCCCTAATTGTAGTAAAGTCCCATTTTTCCGACTTTGGAGCCCAGCTTTGCCATGTTCTACATTCCTATCATCAGTATTTTCATGCTTGCAGTCAAACACAAACATAGTTGGCTATATGGTTTTAGCTTCTGGCTCTTGATCTTAGACTGCGTTTGCTTGTAACATGACAAACGTTTGATACGGTAGTTTCCCTGAATAGAGAACCCAACATAGACCCCAAAATACTACAGACTTTATCACAGGGATCCCCAAAATGGTCCCCTTCATTTTGGGAAACCCACATATAAGTTTGTCTTAGAATAGTTTGCATGGTTCACTTGCCTAACCAGGATGGCTCCTCTAAGGCTCTTGCAAATGCCCCCTCTGATCTCCCCATATTGAGCAAAGTAAGTACTCTACCTATGAGTATGCATATACGTACATACATGCCTAAATCCATGCATGCATTCATACATATATACATACATCACATCTAGCCACGTTGAATGTGATCCACATCCTGAACCTCGCTTGACGCCCAAACGGGCCTGGGCAGCAAAGTCCACGCCGAAGGGTTTTTGCTTGTCGATGCAGCCTCCCAGACATGTTCCGGACTGTCGCCCCTACGTAAATACTACAAACCCTAAACCTGAAACCTTCGACCCAAAGCAACATGCAGATCTTCAGTTCCTCAGGTTGCCCACGAACCTGATTACATCCTGCTGCCACAAATGTCTGCACAGCAGCAACCACTCCGCTCGCCTGAAGCAGATGCAGCGCAAATAGAACTAATCATGTCGAACCCGACTTCCACATAAGCTAGTCAAAACTCCTAGTATCTCCCTCAGGAACACCGACAATACTCCCCAGCATTATCCATGATATAATCCCCTTGAAGGAGTTTAGACGCTAAACCCTATATAACCCCCCTCCAAGGAGTGTAGACTATAGCTCACGTTGAAACTCCGTTTTACAGACCTGTTGCCGTGCGCTGGGGGTTGCAAACAAAGGATCTCAGCCAGGGAGACTCAATAAGCCGAGTAGCAGCTCAATAAGCAGTAGGTCAGGATTTAGGGTTTAGGATTTGGGCTTTAGGTTTAGGGGTTGGGAGAATATTGGGGTTATACTGAAATATTGTTTGGGTTAAACGGGATAATGGACAGTAAAATGGAAACTACTACAGTTTTTTTGTGTTTAGGGTTTAGGAGCCCATGGCACCCTTTGCCCTCCAACTCCAATGGCCGTCTAAATGGTAGTTTCCCAAAATAAAGGGACCCCACTATAGACCCCAATATACTATAGTCCTCATTATTAGGACCCCCAAAAAGGTACCCCAAATTTGGGAAACCCCCAAATGAGTTGTACCTTGCCTTCTTCCTCCTTCGTGGTAATTCGCGAGTTCAAGTTCGCCTCGGTACCTTGGTCTTTTGTAATGATGTGAGCTATAGTCTCAACTCCTAGCATCCCCCTTAATACCCCTGTGGTGGGTTTAGGGTTTAGGGTTTAGGGTCTAAATTCCTAGCCCCCCCTTAATAACCCTATAGTAGTTCCCTATATAATCCCCTATCTAGCCCGCTTTAAGGAGTTAGATTATGGCTCATGTGGTTTCCAAAGCCAGAGGTCCCCTCAAACGTAAACTCAAATCACAGACATCTCTGTTGAAGGATCCACCGCAGAAGGACCTTTTATCGTCGACAGCCAAATTTGACTTCTCATTGATATCGCCCCCTGCTTTGCTGGATGGAGAGGCACGATGCTTCCGGGCCAGAATCCGAAAAATATTTTTACACAAGTGCAAGAATACTAAAGTGCATCATAGTATAGCCGCAGCATCCTGTAAGACTTTTCCTGCCAAAAGCTAGATACTCTGTTTCTCTACGCCATCGGGACGGTTGGAATGGTTTTGAAATCCAGCGAGACAGTGGTTCAGCTGGTAGACTCCAAGCCAACAAGGCCCGCTTTCTGACTCTAGTTGATGCTGCCGGGTGACGGGATCTGCGAAGCTTCATGGTTTGTATCGAACGGGCCCCTTGCAGCTTCATCCGCACCTTCACCTCGGAGACACTTAAAGGTGATCAAGAATCAAGAAACTGTCAGAAACTGTCTCCTTGAGACAGGCCTGAACCTCCTCCAGCAGTTTCTCGAAGTGCTTGTACCACTTCCTCATAGCCAAGCACGGCGAATCATAGCACTCCGCTCTTTTGCTTCAAGGAATCGCTGTTCAGCACCGACAGGCTATGGCTCTGGGACAAGCTGCGCTCTGACGCAGTGGGTGGCCAGCAGGATGTCGTAGAGGCATACACGATAAGCCTTGGGCTCAGGGGCGTCCCTTACGGCCAATGCATCTGACATGCAGAAGCTGCCTCACAAGGGGTGGCGGCATGCAGCGTTGCACCGAAGTCCTGTAGCTTTTGCCAACAAAAATTACAGCTTCTGCTTCAGTGCAGGGCTGGCTGCAAGTGCAACAGCTTTGGTCCTGCGCAACGTGCTCCGGTATGAGGGGATTCACGGGGCCGGCGCTGAACAGCCTGAAGGCACCCTCCCTAACAGACATCGCATCTCGGAAAGTTGATCAAAAGCCAAGGTCCATCATCAGCATGACCATCAATGCTACAGTCATCATCACCACCACCACCACCACCGCCGCCGCCGCCGCCACCAGCATCAGCATCAGCATCGGCATCATCATCATCACCATCATCATCAGATTTGTTTGTCGTCATCAGTATCCTCGTATCATCTGCTTGAATCCGAGCAAGTTGATATGTATTCGAAGAAGAAAAAAGTGTGGGCCCACAACAACGGGTCATGACTCTGAGATTGTTTGCATTCTCGAATTGCACGGTGTCAAAAGCACACCGTTCTTGATGTCTCCATGATGGGGAAAACCGACCACACCGTGAGGGTGAGCCGTCTGCGCTTGATGAAAGCATGACATCTGTACTGCCTCGGCATGTGAAAGGCTAGCAAATTGTAGCACCTCTGTTCCGTGTAGCTTCGGTAAAACATTGCCAGTACCAACTAGAATACATCTGTACTACAAAGTGAACGAAGTCGTGTCCTGATGATTTCGGGTTTCTGCTTGCATGGCTCTGAAACGGGCTTCGAATACGACAGCTAAACTGCGAGAATCCCGTTGACAGTTGACTCTGTGGACACGTGACGATATGAAGTTCCATATACAGCAACTGTCACGAGGATGGCGACCCTGACCGATGCGATTCTGGACTGCGATGAGCATCTTGCATTGCACTGTTGGGTACTGTTGACATGCTTTGCACGCCACGAGGGTAAGAGAGTCCATGACAAAGTGCGAACATTGTTAAGCTAGACTAGACCCAAAGCCAAAACCATAAGTTCTGAAGCCCGGGCCCCAAAGCCCTAAGCCCTAAGTCCTAAATTCTCAAGCCACAAACCTTAAATTCTAAAAGCCAAGCCCTATGCTAATGCCCAAAGCTCAGAGCCTGACGCCCCTGCTCTAACGCCCTAAGCCCTAAACCCTTAAATTCTGAAGGCCTAAGACCTCAAGCCCCAAATCGTAAATCTTAAAGCCCTACAAGCTAATCCTAAAGCCCCACCCCGTACCGCTGAAGTATGTTGAAGTCGATCTCAACTTTCGTGGCACCGACCACACAAACAGGAGTTTCCTCAAATTAGGGGGTCCCTTTTTCTGGGAGTCTCTACAATGAGGATGATAATATATTGGGGTCTTATTGGGGCCCCCGATTTTCAAACCTGTGTGTAGTAGTTTTGTTACCAACAGTTACCAATCCTCGCACGGCCCTCAAGAGCCGACCTTCCTCCTCAGATCCTCAAAACTCGCAAGCATCAAGAATCAGACATCCACAACAGAGTCCATGCAAAAATCCTTCACAACGCTTTCAGGAAAAACGCAAACGAAAAACTAATCCAGGATGCATACTGCCTTATTTCGGAAGCACATCAGAATGGGGCGCTCTACCATTCCCAGCCCGTGTAAAGAGAATCCAGGCGCATGATGTGGCGGGCGCCCATCATGAGGTTCATGGTTCCTGCGACCGTGGAGGCAGGTCACACAAGAAAATGCGGGTATCTCTCAAAATAACCCGGTGTACACTCCTCAGGAAGTCTCTTACAACCTCTGTGTCTTTCCAGGATTCTCTGAGGCCTCCCCCAACAAGCACACAGCCAGCAAGCCTTGGACCAGGATCCAGTAGTGCGGCCCCTGCCTGGGCATCAATCAGTGAGTGAATCCCGGCGTATCGGCATAACATTTAGGCTTAATCTGAAAATGAGAGCTCACTTTCATTCTCGCATTTAGTTTTGAGAAGCCCCGTTGTAAGGACAATATGCTCATTTCATGGCTTCCTATCTCAGAGGCCGGCGACTTGGAGTTTGGCTTGAACACGTCACCCGTCGAAAAGTCGAAGCGGATTGCATGCAGCGCAACAGCACCTGGAGTTGGAGAACTTCGTGGCCAAAGGCACGCTTGGGAACCAATAAGGGGCTAGAATATTGACGACCTCCGTATGGGGCTACATGCAGGTTTGCATTTAAGGATGGAATGGACAATTGAATCCAAAATTGAATCGAAACTGTGGCTTTTAGGAAAATGCAGGATCTAGAGGTTTCCCAGGAGGAGGGGTGCCTTGTAATGTTTTGGGGTATATTAGGGGGACCCCTTCTTGCGGAAACACTGTAAACCTTAAACTCTGAACCGTGCTGAACTCCCAGGAGGAAGTAACAGCTGGCTTCTGCCCAAAAAATGCAAACAACTCCTGGCAAAAACTAACCGCTCCCAAACTAGCATAGAACCTGGGTGCTGGGCGTTGTTGTTAGAGGGGGGGTGTAGAGGGATATGTAGGGATGTATGTAAGGCTTGAGGGCTTTCATATGCCCCAAACAAACATGGAACGCCGCAGAGCCCCCACCTAAAGGGATAGTAGTTTATGTAAGGCCCCAAACCTGGAAAACATAGACGTGGACTCCCCACCATGATTCTCTACATCATTGCTATTGACCCTAAAACCCTACATGGCCCCAAACACTGTGCAACATCTTGCGCATGCATCCTACCAAACTGCTTGCTTTCTGGAGCAACATCAAGCCAAGGACTTCTTGGAGGGACCCCTGATAGGGACCCTTGTAGCTTACATGTTAAGGGGATTAAGGGTCCCTATTAGGGGTCCCTCCTAAAGTCCCTAGAATCAAGGTAACTTCGGAAATACCAATTGCCGAGGCAATCACCCCTGCAATGCTAGTTGCCGCTGCACCAGTTTTCCCAGACAGGCCAAAGTGGAGGCCAATAAGGGTTTGGGGTTATATTGCAGTTCTATTGGGGTTATATTGGGATAATGGAAAATAAAATGGAAACTACTATATTATAATAGGGTATATATAGGGGTCATAATGGGATAATGAAAAATACAATGGAAACTACCTTTGTATAATAACAAAAATCTCAGCAAGGTTTGAAGCAACCCACGGACTTTTGAAGCCGTGGGGCGTGCTGCTACATCCTTGACCTCAGAGCATGTGGCATTGCGAAGAACTATTTGAGGCATGATGTGAGGCACAAGTGATCTACAGCAGTAGTTGTAATTGACTGTGACAAAGTACCTGGTTGGGTTTTGCCTTACCAGCACAAGAACAACTTGAGAGGATGCACCACGCAAGAACTTGCTGGCCTAACCGAGAGAAAGCCACCCTCGAACATATAGCAATAGAGACTTAGCCAGCAGCAAAAGGGAAGTGCGACGGCAAGGTGACGACACCGTCAAGCTGGAGACTTGACAAGTGTTAGCTCCAGTTCAGAGACTTTCTTCTCTCAGCATGGCTTGACCCTTCGCTGACTTTTTTGGATGATTAGCGATCTGTGCACATAAAAGATCGGACACACGCTTCAGGCCGGACAAAGGCTTTCCTTAAGTAGGACACACGCTTCAAACTAAGACACTCGCTTGAGGAGTAGGACGCATGCTTCAGGTATGAAAGCTGCTTCAGGTCTGCCTTGCTGATGCAAGCCATCCATGATCTCAATTAGGCTCCTGGCACTCACGTCAAGCGGAAGGGTGCACCTTACTTTGGCACACTCTCATGGGAGTACGGCAGGCAAATGATTGGGGACTTGGTTCATGTATTCCTCACTCCGGCACACTGCTCCACCCAGGCCTTCAAGCAAGCCCGCATGGCTGGCTACCAGGTTACTCCAGCAAAGCACGATCAACTGCAAAGAAAAATGATTCCAAACAAACAACTTGTAAAACACTCTGGTATTGTCCGAGCGACAGAGGCATGCCCTGCTCCTCAGATGGTGAGATATCTTGAGATGTCATTTGCATCTTGTAGATCGAATGAGCAGACTGGAGACTCCCACCAATAGCAAAACCTGGAATTGAACAATTGGACAACGCCTGCCTTGCAAACGCAAAAAGACATGACTGAGCCAAGATTCCACCTGATCACATCTCTCCTGGCGCAACGCCTGCAAGCGCTTGACATCAAGAAGGCATCAGCCTTTTTTAGAAAATTCCGAATTAGAAACAGTAGTGTTATCATGCATGGGAGCTCTCAGAGGCTATAGGACATAGATATAACCAAGTCATAAATTGTTTTCTGCTCTGCCTGGCGTGGGCCATGCGTGCATGCGCACGATGCTGCTCCGTTGAGGCGCTTACTACATACGTTCCCCCTTAAGTCGATAGAATATGGGGTATATGGGGTCTTATTATAATATACCAGACGCCATATTCTATCTACTTGAGGGGGACTATGGATGTTTCCCCACGTTCCTACCAGCAAAATGCTGCGAGGACCTCGCAAAGCCAAGTCGGCACTATGATATACCCATATTCTGGTAACTTAATCAGACTTCTTTAACAGCAACCCAGTGAGGAAACCCTAAACCCTACATTACCGAGTACATCTCCCTAAATCCCCTTTAAAGGCACTAATAGTTTGACCCAGTATTTATAGTCCCCCTTAAGTAAATAGAATATGGGGTATATGGGGATTTTTAACATATTGTACACAAAGTCATATTCTATCTACTTACGGGGGCCCATATTCCGCCAGTTTCCGTTTCATGTTCGATCGTCTTTTCCATTTGATTCTCCATTATCGGGAAATGATGGGGAATTATTCCATCTACGTCAGGGGGACTATCATTTGAGAAGTGCAGAATACCCTGTCCTTGCCTCGAAGCGTGCTCGCGCCTCCGCTGCGTCATCGCCCTGAGAAAATGAAGCGGTTGGGGGTCCAGGGGTTTTGGGGTTTAGGGGCTTATGGGTTTAGGGTTTGGGGGTTTAGGGGTGTATGGTTTAGGGTTTAGGGTTTAGGGGTGTATGGTTTAGGGGTGTAGGGTTTAGGGGACGCCAACATGAACCGTCACAAGCCCATAGGCAAGCAGGGCAGAGGAAGCCTGCAAGATCCGCGTGATCAGGTTGGCGGTAATCAGAACCTGACTAGGTGGGCACAAAGCATCAGTGCTAGTCACAACCCATGCCTGCCCAGAGGTGCGGACAGAAGTAACCTTTAACAAGCTACAAGGAACGTTTCATGCGGCTTAAATCTGTAAAGGACTCCTTTGCCGGACCGGTCATAAGCCCTAGCCCTAGCCCTCAATCCCCAACCTCAATGCAGTGTATAAAGTCAAAAAGAAAAACTTTCCAGCAGCAACCGTGGGGCTGCATCTGCATTCGTCGTGGCCCCTCAGTATGCGCTCGCTGCATCTAGCTGCCAGAATCATCAGTAAACTATTTGCATTCCGGCCGCGCCGACAGCGCGGTTTTACTGCAAGCACAAGTGCTGTTCAATATACTACCTTATCTAATTCAATCTAGTAATTATAGAATGGAATGTGATGTATCATACTATATAGTGATCTGCTATAATCTCCTATGTTGAGCTGTGGCGGGTTTGAAGAGTGACATGGCATGCGGCAAAGCTACGGATCGTAGCCGTCCGCCACGGGAAGAGCCCCAGCACTGAGACCTCGCCGATCATCGCGCCGGGCGTGATAGTTCCAATCAGGTCTCCTACCAATGTTCTGAACGTAAAGCATAATATATTAAAGTAGATTATGACATATTAGAATCCATTCTAATATACTATGCTATACGATCATCTGCTAAAAAAATACCATAGCATACTAGAATATACTATGATATACCAGAATATAGTATAGTACAACATAGTACATTGAACAGAGCTTCTGCGTGCAGCAGGAAAATCTCAAAAAGGCACCGGATGAGGCAGATGCCTTTTGCCAACCCTAAACCCTCAACCCTAAAACCCTAAAACCTAAACCCTAAACCCTAAAACCCTTAACCCCTAAACCCTAAAACCCTAAACCCTGAACCCAGCCTGCTTCCCTGAAAGGCATCATACCGCCTGCGACCCATCCTGTCCTGACTTTGTGTGGACTTCGCCCTCACCCTTGAGGAAAATGATCCTTGCAGATGTTAGAATACAGTACATTATAATATTATAATATATTGCCATGTATTGTAATATGTTATGGTATTCGGAGGTTAGCCTAAGTAACCGTGGCTTTTGTGCGAGGCAAGGCGAATGTGACCTTTGCCTTGTGCAGGCTACGGCTCAGCTTGTTTTGAGGTAGTGGTAGGTATGCCATACCTCGCCAAATGGTTTCTTTCGCTCGGGCTTTGCGCGGGATTCGGTGAAGGATGGTTTGGAGTAGCTCCCAACATTTCCAACACGTCTTCTGTAGAAGAGAATCGCACTGTCTGGGTTCGGTGGCTCGATTGGGCAAACGATCATGTGGATAGTTTGTCCTTTGCTGGCAGTGAGTGGACCTCATGGGCGAGTTCCTGGACTGCGCCGCAACGACCTCAGAGGACCGGGTTTTGCTGGGATGGTGGTCTGTGCCTTCTTCTAGACACCATCGTGGGCGTCATCGGTTGGGCCCTCTTCGGCAATGCTTGGCCAGGGGTTCGCACTGGGTGTCAGCGGGCTTTTCGGATAGTGGCTTTGCTTGGATTCTGCTTGGCGGCACATTACCTATGGGCTATTTGTTGGCCGGTGGTGTCCTTAGTCACGGCGGTGGTTCTCGGTGTCGCGTGGATGGTTCGACTGGTGGTCAGGAAAGTGGGCACTTTGGTTTACTGGGCACAGCGAGCCGCTGGTGGGGTTCCGGAGGCGACAGGAGCCAGCTTTCTGGGCCCAGGCACGGGGAAGACCGAGACGACCGATCAGGACCTTCAAGAAGGTCGGCAACACCGAGAAGTGGGTTTTGGTTCGACGTGAAGGCCGAGTCGCTGTCTTCAAGGTGGGCAGTGACTCCCAGACTATCCGCACGGCTGGGCTCTATGTGCCGGTCGAGGCGGACACTTGGCGGGGCGACCGGGAGATTGTTGATGCTTGTGCCGGACATGACAAAGTTCACCTTTGCCGTAGCCTGCAGGAGTTCGACGCTGAGAAGTTCCAGTTGAAGGGTGCCGAGCTAGGCGCGGCGGAGGCGGGGAGGACGCTGTGGGCCTGGTTGTGGGCATCAAGACCGTCGCTCCCATCAAGGCCGCCTTTGGAGTTCTGTTCTGAGTCCGAGGCAGAGGAGCCTGTCAGGTGTGCGGGACACCGTGTGAGATGGGCGGCAGAGGATGGGGATCACTCACTGGCAAAGGGTCCTTGTACCAATTCTGGGGCAGGTCCCCACACCTTGCTCGAGGAGGATGGCGACAAGGATGGCAATGTGGTCCCTTTGTGTGCGAGACATGCTTTGGACTATGAGCGGCGGAGGAAGTGTCACGGCTGCCGATTTCAGGGTTGCCAGCGCCTTGGGTTGGAGGAGGTGCAGGGCGTGTTGCTTTGCAAAGGGCATGCTGAGGCTAGGAGACCTAGTTCAAGGCGGCGTTCTTCTCCGGCGAAGGCCACGCCTGTTCCTGGAGGTGATGATCATGAAGAACCTGAACTTCCTGCTCGGGTGGATGGTGGACGAGGGGCTCTACGTGACCTTCGGCGTCTGCTGGACGATGCAAGGGGCGAAGATGCTCGAGTGACGAAGCCACGACTGCGATCCCCTGGCAACACCCCGAAATCGAGCATCCAGCGGAACTTGGCGAAGCTTGGCCTGTTGCAACCGGCGGCGATACCTATCTTGGAGGACTTCTTCCAACAATACGCTGAGGGCCGGGACCTGGGTTTGTCGGAGGAGGAAGTACGGCAAAACTTGGCCATTGAACGTGGCCGCACTCTGCAAGCTGTGACTGCCGAGCTTTACCAGGAGGCAGTGCGCGAGCAGGAGAAGGGTCAACAAGGGCTCAGCAAGTTCATTCGGGTTTGGCAGCAGCGGCAAACACCGTCAGTGTCTCCAGCACCGTCCTTAGTTCGATCAACTCCGGCGTCTTGGGAGATAGTGGAGCACGCAGCCTCTGAGAAGTCAGCACCTACGTCGGGACCCACGTCACCGTTGAGGATTGGCAACCCGGGCATCTACGGGCAGGACGATCGCAAGGCAGGAGCGGCAGAGGGTCCGAGTAACATCCACGACATTGCTAGGGCCATCCAGTCTCAGACCGCGGAGATCGCCTCTCTCGGGCTCAACCGGCAATCCGAGGAGCTCGTTTTCTTGCTGAGGGCGTGCAACCAGTATCAGGTGGCCATAGGTGCGGGGGAACAAGGGCAAGCTTTGGCAAACGCCCTTTTGTCAGCCCAGGTCGGTGCATCCACAAGGCTCCGTAAGGCGGGTTTCAAGCAGAAGGCGACGACTCGTCTTGCAGTGGGTTTGGCTGGGCCGTACTGGGGCACTCAGGATAAGCATTCGCTGTCGGCCGCAGACTTTGTTCCCCAGACGGACGCGGAGTTGGACGCTTTTGTGCAGGAGATGCGGGCTAACAAGGTCGGCAACGATCAGCGACCCCAGCCACCAAACAAGATCGAGGACTGGGAGGCCAGGGTTCGCAGGCAGAATGACGTTTGGGCGTTGATCTACGGTGCGGAGTGGAAGCCGGTGCGGGCCCATGCTTTGAACCTGCTTCTTGAATGGCATCAGGCCGAACCTCATAAGTGGCCTTTATCCATCGTTTCCGACATCTGGGAGGAGTTGCATTGGCGGTTTTTCGAGGAACTAAAGGAGACCCTGCGGCTTTTGAAGAAGGAGGCAAACCGAGAGACGATGTCGCTTCAGGACATCAAGTTCTACGCGCTCCTCCCCAACAGCAAGGATCAGGCATGGCTAGAGCTCCCGAAGACCTTCGACTTGCGCAACCCCGACGGATGGTTCGAGGCGGAGGTGCTGCCCAGGATTGAGCGGCGTCAGGAGCGGATGCTGTGGCGACTCACGTGGGAAGGCGGGCGAGGCAACAAACCGCAAGGACCTACGCATGCAGGTGGCGACCAGACCGACCGCAAGGAGAAGCCGACCGCCAACAATTTGCGGGGGCCGAAGCTAAGCACGGAGGAGGTCAACCGCGCGAAGGACAGGGCCCCCACTGACAAGGCCGGGACGTTGCTTTGCTGGGGCGCTTTGACGCACATGGGCTGCGGCAACCAAGGGCGTCAACGATCGCACTCGGATCTTCAGGGACGCTGGGAGAACCTCGACTCGTGTGTGCAGATGCAGCTCCTGCGCCGAGGCGGACTTCGCCGCGCCGCATGAAGATGGAGACGAAGGAGTCTGCGCAGGCGAAGATCAAGGCTCTCAGAACCGAACTGGCCAAGGACAAAGCGGAGAAGATTGCGGACGGCAGGAAGTCGGGCCAGGGCCTTTCCGCGCGCGAGACGGACAACGGCACCGGCGAAACCCGAGCTGGTGGTGACAAAGTGGTGAGGGTTTGGGACGTGCCTGAAGAGTTCGAGGCGGTCGACTACACGCTCGCCGAGTACGACATGCGCGAGAAGGTGAAGGGACCTGATTTAAGGTGGCTTCTCTCCGGCAGGACGGTGGCTACGTGTTGCCCGAGGCGGACGGCGTCACGGCTCCCGAGGAGGCGAAGGACTACGTTCTGAGCAAGTTGGAGGGGGCCTCGGACGACCTGTACGCATGGGCTGCCGCAAGGGTCGCACGATCCCCAAGTTCGAGCTTTGAGGATATCATGTCGGAGATGGCCACGTACGGTTTGGGCGAGCTGGCGGACGAGGCGACCCGATTTCTGGAGGCGAACTTGGGCACGAAGGCTGGTTCCACTGGCGAGCTTCAGGCGCGAGAGACAGTGTGGGAGAACGGGCAGCCAGGCAAGGGCACGGCGGTTATCGCTGAAGAGCTGGCCGGGCTCCTGCAACAGGCGCACGTTGGCATGGAGAAGAGACAGTGCGTAACGAAGGCGGTGGCAGCAGGCGTTTTGTGGAGGACGCGGGCAAGGGCAACCGACTTTGGAGGAGGTCGCGCTGAAGGCCGTCGATATCCGCTTGGATCAGGCGCGTCAAGCTTTGGAAGCCAAAAAGTGCCATGGGCGACCCGCGAGCGAAGGTCACGCCCATTGAAGCGGAGATTAGGGTGTATGTCCACGACCTGCTGAAGGCCAATCACGACAAGGACTTTCGTTCGCACGCGGTTTTCCCGATTGCAGACCTGGAGGAGTGCAAGCTGGTTGTCATCCGAGCAGACTATAAGGGGACATCGTCATGGAGACGGTCACTGGAACCATGTGGCAGGAAGGAGGCTGGATTCTGTGGACCTTGATTTGGCATGGTCACATGGTTTTGCTTGAGCCTCCTCCATCTCTTGATGCGCGCGCCGTGTTCGATCGATGGCAACCTCACGATACCCCGGCGCTGGGCTTCCTTTTCTTTTGGCACTCTCGGCACGATCAAGAACGCACCAGCCCAGGCACGGTGTTCTGTCGACTGTGCAAACCGAGTCGCAAGGCGGGGGAGGTAGCCCTCTCCTTTTCTCTGACAGGGCCGCGCAAGGATAGCAACTTGGCCGCTGCGGCTATTGTGGGCTGCATACGGGCGGGGGCTTCGGCGCCGGAGGACCTCTACCAGGTGCGGGGCGACTCGCTTTGCTTTCAGGAGGTGTTTGCTGGCGCAGGCGTGATGACGAAAGGGTGGTTGGCTGCGGGTGTTCGGTGTCTAGATCCTGTTGAGGTTTTCAAGCGCCAAGGATATCGGGCTTTCTTTGATGTTACGCTCCCGGAGGTCCAGAAGCGTCTCCTACGGCAGGTTCGAGAAGGTCCGGCCAACGTTTGGCGGTTGGCTGCCCCGCGCACGTCGTTCTGCGACTGGGGTTTGCAAAATGGTGGCACGCGGTCGTTTCAGTTCCCGGCGGGCGGCAAAGATGGGGCGCCCCTCACGGACAGCGAGATTGAGGGCAACCTACTTTCCAAGGTCGAGGCGGAGCTTTTCTTGGCCGGTTTGGAAACCGGCGCCTTTCCCGTCGCCGAGTCCACGGCGCGCTCCGGCAGATACCCGAAGATGTGGGACTTACCATGGTGGCAGGCGATTTTGGCGCGGCCAGATGTGCAGTGGGTTGAGTTCCCGATGTGTGCCTTTGGT